TTTAAAAAAAAAATTTGCCTTGCATTGTTTACCCAACTTTTTCCCCCGCCCCCCCTCCCCCCCCCCCCCTTTTCCCGTCCACACTTTGTTAAGAACGTGTTATGTAATGCAGATGTCAGAGATGCACATAGGCCATACCTATCGTCACGGGGCCCTAAAGGCGTGGGGGCCCCTGGGCATGTGCCTCACCTGCCTTTGGGTGATTCAAGGCTCTCTGTGACGTCCGATGATGGTAAACCAAAATCGAACACGTTTTTCAGCATGCCGAAATTTACAGACCAGTCTCGAAACATGGCTCCTGTTATTGTCTTCATAGTGGGTCAGAACCGGGGGAGGAAGTGTGACTTCGAAACATGGCTCCTGTTATTGTCTTCATAGTGGGTCTGAAATGGGGGAAGTAGTGTGACTTTCGAGTGGTTCCTGTTATTGTCTACTTAGTGGGCCTGAACTAAGGGGGGAAGTGTGACTTCGTACATGAGTGCTGTGAAAGCGTTTCACTCGACATCAAGAAATATAGCAAAACATTATTTTATTTCCCCGTCTACATTGACAAAAGAGTTTTCTCCACCCACGCGTCAAGCCAATATCGACCATTCCCTAACACGACTTTGCTATAAGCTCTTTCATGTCATTACTGTTTGATGAGAGCTTTCTTTGTTCCATATTTTGTAAAGCAATTTCGCACCAACTTTATCTAGTCGAGCATTTTTTGTTTAAATAATTTAAAGATTCGATGTTTAAAATAAAGAGCCGATTTAGTAGGCATTACAGAGGAACCCGCTTATCTCGACCTCGTTGAACTCGCCAACCCTGTTATGTCGACGTTTTTGAAGTGGAACCGCCAAATTCCCACTTTGACCTAGCAATTTCTCCTCTGTCATGTCGATTCTTTTATGTCGCCGAACCCAGATATCTCGAGAACAAAAGGCGGCCAAATTTGCCACTTAACCCCGGTTATCTCGACCCCCATGACCAATCACGGCTTTTGAACTCCGCTAGAAGAAATAGCAAACAAAAAATGAACAAGTTTTTCATAATAAAAATAAAAATTATTTATTTCTTTCTCAAAATACATGACTTTTGTTTTGGAATGAACCTAGAAGTAATTTAAATAAATAAATAGTTTTCAATTCGAGGTTTAAAAACCCGGTAGTAGAGTCCACATTACCAATGATCCTAATTGGCCTTATGCAAAACGTTGCTTAGTTCTAGTTGGTCGTGTTCACGGTCACATGAATACTGTCTATGCCGTGGTACTTCTTCAGAGTTTCATTCATCAGAGTTGGCCGTGTGCAAAAGTTATTAAACTATTGGTCAGGGAAAGCTTTAATTACTTAGTCATGTGCCAAAGTTGATGAAAGTTCAAAATAAGTAGTCCCTGAATAGTAGTTTAGTAATAAGGGGATGCGTTGCCTCATATAAACTATGTAGTCATTGCGCAAGACACGATCAGCAGAGTGAGGTCATAGAAGAAAATACCAGACGAACTCGCACTTTAAAAATTCGTAGCTCAAAAAGTACTTAAGTTGATTCTGGTCTCATTTTTTTTTCAGTTTGAAGTTTGCACTAAAAAAAAAAATTTAACATTTAAAAAAAATTTTTTTTTTTTATTTTGACTGAAGTACCTACATTTATGAACGCACATCATGTACATACAGAAATGTCAAGCACGTGTGAATATGTTGCCGCCCTGTGGGTTTTTGGTTATCTCGATCATCGGTTATCTCGATGGTTTTTGGAAGACCCCGACCCCGTCGACATAACCGGGCTATACTGTCGTGTGGTGTTGTTGTTATTTTCTAAACTCTTATTTTTTCCTCTTGATTTTATGTCGCTGTATGGATAAAACATCTGTTTTGAAAGTCAATTTATTTTTTTAATTTATAGGCGTTATTTGTTGTTGTTTGTTTGTTTGTTGTTTTTTTTTTTTTTTTTTTTTTTTTTTTTCCAAATTATTTTTACTCTTGATTTTATGTCGCTGTATGGATAAAACATCTGTTTTGAAAGTAAATTTATTTTTTTAATTTATAGGCGTTATTTGTTGTTGTTTGTTTGTTTGTTGTTTTTTTTTTTTTTTTTGTTTTTTTTAGCCAAATCAGTTTACAGCGTTGACCCTGGAAATAGTTATCAAGAAATAGATATTTCTGGAACTAAAAGCTGAAATTTTAACAAAACTAAAACAATGTCTTAATTCTTAAAGAAGGATGAGTGGACACTTACAATAAAACAACAGCAGCAACTACCCTGTAGACCAGACAGCACATGGATATCTTCTTCCTGTTAACCCAGTGCACGATATAGGATTGTAATCTTTCTACAAGAGCCAAACTAAATGTGTACACGGTTAATCTACTTATAGACGAGGACCTGAAGTAAACAAAATAATAATAATAATACAATATGTATGGATAGACCAGACCCGAGGTGAAATTTATGTGGCAATTTGTTTTTATAAAAAAGGATAAATCATTGTTTTTATAATAAGAAATAGATCATT